TTCAAAATATAATTGACTTTGGAACATGAGCATGTCAGTATTTGGATTAACCATGATAGAACAGGCCTTGTCAATCGCTTCTATTGCCTTTTCCATGAGTGACTCTCGTGTTAGTATGGTTCGAATATTAATATCACCGATTTTGTCTGAATAAATCAAACTATATCTCAGACGAAGATCATCTTTGTTATTTTCATCAAGAACCACTGTCTTTGAGGTTTGATCTGAGAGAATTTTTCTATTATTTTCTCGCAAGAGTTCTTTCTTATCATCAAGCATTCTGTGTTTAAATAATAAATCATGCCAAGAGAGTCCGCTTGTTAAAATCTCTGATCGAGAGCAATTTCTCATTGGCTCTCCATCAATATTATCATACATGGACAGATAATCATTGCAAGCTAAAATTGAGGCGGAAGGAATCAGTAATAAAGCATATTCATAAATAGAATTTGAAAGTCTGAAAAATAAATGAGGATTCACATTATGTTCCACACAAAATATTTCAGCTTTTCTCATTTCCACATTGCATACACTTTCCCAGAGGGAGACACATCCTTTACAGAGCTTTTCACTTTCACTCGCAACATTATTTTGTAAAATAGATTGAGCATGTCTTGGTATTGCCTTGTTCTGTTCTGCATTTAAACGTGATTCTAATTTTTGAAACTCGGAATAATTTAAAGTTAAGGTTCCAACAGAGTTCACTGCTGTCAATGTGGATTCGTAATCAAAATTGGATAACATAGTGTCACTGGATGAGCTATTTTCACCAGAATAGATCGTTGAATGTTCTCGTTTTCTTCTCACCCAGTATAATAACAAAACTGCATATTTGTAGAGACATTGGTGATGAAGAGGGCAATAGACATAATTAATGAATGATCCATTTCTTCCATCTTGGTCACATCTTACAAATTTGGAATTAATACAACAAACATCATCTTTGTCCTTGTCAATGGTTGATAAAATCTTTTCTATACAAATCTTGATACATGTATTATACTTTTCTTGAGCTTGTGAACAGAGAGCTGCCCAACGTTGTTTTCGTCGGACAGACCACTGAGTGAGAACATCTCCAAAATACATGTACATGTAAGCTCTTTTGATTCTTGTGAAATATCTACCACGACAGGTTCATTCTCCTTCTCATCAACCACAGGTGTTTTCTTTTTGGTTTTTGTGTGGACTTTTCAAACAGCTTAATAGCAGAATCCATGTGAAGACAAATATCTTGAAACATGTTTTCAATTTGTTGTTGAGCTTGTTGAGCTGCTTTTTGTGAAGAACTTGTTGGAGAAGTCATTCCTCCTCTGGGACTTGGACTTGAACATTTCGATGAAAAACTTGCCCGAACTGGAGAATCTAAAGAAACTGCCATTACATTGTCCAATGAACCTAAGGAATATCCAGTACCAATGGTAAGATTTGGAGCTGAAAGTGGTTCACTTGGAGACATGTTATTTCCTGTCACAACTTGTGAATCAGTAATCTTAATTGGTGGAGAAATGGAAGAAGCAGCATTATTTTGTAATGGACTGTTCATTCCAACATTGCTACTACTACCACCATTATTTGACATATTGGAAGACATTTGAGAACTTTCTCTTTCCAATTCATCCAATCTTGGAAATGACAATTCATATAAAATTCTTGCCAATAATAAATGTAAATCTGATTTTAACATTAAATCCAGTGAATATTCTCGACTCAATTCACAACATGTAATTGCATTTCTCAACTTGTATTCTGCCTTATTGAGTAAATGAATGACATGTCCAGATTGACTTGACAAGTTTTTAGTGGAGCATACCATCAATGTGGCATAACCAAAAACGAGAGCTTTCAAAGGAGATTCTGAATTCGATGCTGACATATTCAGAGTTGTTCCCAATGTATTGGAATTAAAGGATAAGATTGAAGTTGACACTATTGGAGTGACTTCGTGTTGTTGTTGTTGATTCCATTCATTGATTTGATCTAAAATTTCTTGTGCATAAATTCCTCTCTTTTGATTGTCAATTCCCATAAACGGCGATGAATAATTGATGAGAGAAAAAAACAGCATCTGTTGGACCAGATTTTGCTGGTGATGACATCGACGATCGTAACGAAGAGGAAAGAAGAGAATGTCGTGAATTTGATGACAAGTGAATGGATTCATTAATTTTGGAATGATGATTGTAAGAAGGAGATGAAGAAAAAGAATTCAATTTGGAATTTGGTTTGTGGTTGGATGATGATAATAATAATACTGATGATGATGAATTGAAAGAATTGGAAAAAGAAGGATTTTGATGATTCAACAAGGAAGAAGAATTGGAAGAATTGAAGGAATCGTTCAGTTGTTGTTGTTGTTGTTGTTCCAAATGATGATCCATTCGAGAACATTCAATAAACGTCGGAGGTTCATCGATATTCTCGAGTCGTAATTTGAAATCTAAAAGAAGTGTGGAAATATTTGAAGGATTCATTCCATGAATGGAACTATTATTCGAGGATCCAGTAGATGATGATGAAGAAGGTGTTGCTGATCCGCGAGGAGAAGGCGTCGATGAGATGGTGGTGGTTGTGGTCGTCGAGGAAGACAAGGAGACCAAAGACGAAGACGCGGATGACATTTTTTGGTGTTTTTTGATGCGAGTCAATGACGATGATGAAAGGAAATGGTTCTTGGCAAAGTGTGTTCGTCCTTAATCATATTTGGAAGTTT